CCTTGGACCATTTGGCATTCCTTTTTGAGCTACTTAACGTTTTGTTTGCTTGAGGACAAGCAAAGAGCTAAGTGTGGGGGAGTTGTTTGTTATGTTTTTGTGTTTCTTTTTATTGGTTTCTTGTGCGTAGTTGAGTCGGTTTTAGGATTGTTTTAGCGTTGACCGGTCCATTTTATCGTTTTCCGTGTGTTTTGTGTGTCTTTCTTTATTTTTTTATATTTTTGGCGTACTTTTCTGTATTTTGTGGTGTTCTTTCAGGTTTATTCTCGAGGGTGTCGAGAAGAGTTCCGAGAGACGAGATTTCCAAGTATTCCGAGTCAATGTCGAGAATTTCCGAATCATTTAGCTAGTCCATTCGATCAAAAGTCCCTAAGGGTGGCCGCACTCGCGCCCTCGACCCGCGTCCCGCGCCCCGTGCCGCGCCTCGCGAAGATAGCCGCGAGGTCGAGAGTGTTGCCCCGTCCAGCTCGCGCCGCGCGAATCCTCCCGCGAGCTCGAGAGTAGTCCCTCGCGCCGCGCCCGCGACTCGCGAAGATAGCCGCGACGTCGAGAGTAGTTCGTTGCCCCGCGCCACCTCGTGCCAGGCCCGTGCCTTTCCCAGTCCGCGCCGCGCGAATTCTTCCGCGAGCTCGAGAGTAGCACTCCATTGCCGCGCCCGCGCCCGCGAATTCTTCCGCGAACTCGAGAGTAGCACCAAATTGCCGCCCGCGCCCGCGAATCTACCCGCGATATCGAGAGTAGCCTTTTCTCTCGCGCTGGTCCCGTGCATTCCTCGAGCCAGATAGCGCCAACTCGCGCCCGCGCCCGCGGAAGTCCCCGCGATATCGAGAGTATCCCATTTAATCTGCGTGCTTCTACTGTGTGTTTTTGGAGCTGGACTATATATATGTTTTGGCCCTTTGTAATTAAACATCTAGATTTCATTTGCTACTTTACTCTTTTTGGTAATGTCTTTGGTTTTTAGCTTTTCCTCTAGATTCTCTCTAGCTTAGTATTTTCCGGCGAACTATTTCCGGCAACTTTTTCCGGCAACTCTCGTTTTTATGCAAGTTTATATCTTTTTACTCCGATTTCGACTAAGCATGCATTAGGAATGTGAGTACTTACTTTTAAGACTTATATTTTCGTATTGTGCACCTAATTAGCTATCTAGTTAGTAGAAGTGATTAGGACTTGCTCGATTATCGGATATGTTTGCTCGTTTAGTCATTTTCCGTGCTTTTGTAATTTTTGAGCTTGTCTATTGTGCTTGAGTTTGTTGAAGTGTGAATTTCTACTTGAAACATCGTGACTATGATATTGAGCTCGGTTATTTCGTCGTAGAATTTTCGGCTTTAACTATTAAGTGTAATAGATGGAGTTCGTTTCTTTTGTTTTAGCTCGTTTTTGTTGATTTCGGTTCTCCGATTTAGTAAGCTAGAGTTTCTAGTATAATTGCTTAGTTAATTGCTAGTTGCTTACTTTCTTAGTTAATCTAGTGCTTAATCAATCTTCAACCAATGAATAGAGTGTTTAGGATTTATTTCTCTCGTTTTGTGTTTTTGGACAATTGAATAGCAACCAAAGCTCCGAATAGCCTTCCTTAGAGAACGACCCGAGTCGGGTAACTCGGTTACCACATACCCACAAATCTCTACTAAACACAGTCGTTTCCAGTCCGATCGTTCCTACAGGCTACGTCTATGAGCATCATTATGTTAGCTTAACAAAATGAAACAGAAAGAAACATGTGTGCAAAAGTGAATATAAAATGAAAATGAATGAGTACTACTGGCCTTTTATAGTGCAAAAATAATTTGGGTGACGATAATAAAAAATAGTACGAATATCCTTTTCCGATCTTATGAATATCTTATGAATAAATGAATGCGGAATATATGGTTGAATGCGGAATATATGGTTGGAGAGGGATTCCTCGCCGATAGTATGAACGAAGCATAAATTTTTTCGTCGAGATCAAGCTCCTCTAAAGGGAATGCAAACCAGGTGTTATACCTTATTTTCAAACTTAAATCTAGACTGATAATTTTTCAAAACACACACACACACACATATATACACACATACCTATAAAATGAGTGTAACAAAGAAGGTTAACCTATGTATTGATGATACTTTTGCTGTAAATAAAAATCGTAGCCCAAAAACAGAATGTACCCATACAAACCCAAACATTTGAGCTAAAAAGAAAATATGAAATACATCAGTAAACAAATAAAAATAATAACAAATACTCAAACCAAGTTGTAAATGTAATTTCTATCACCAACATATGGTTAAAAGACATGTCATAATTTCTTAAAAAAATTTAGTTTAAATCATTGACCACATTAAATTTATTACAAAGTTTGAGGTTTAAATCTTTCTTACCATCAGCCTAATTGAATAACATTTGAAATTAATAATGGGGATAAGAAACAACATACGAAATGCATTGAAAAATGAAAAGAACACGAATATGTGAAGATTGAATGATTAAATATACCTTGAGTAGTGAGTAAGCCGCGAATTTGAAGAGTAAACGAAGATCCTGATGAAACAACGAAGACGATTCTTAAAATTAAAAACGATGGATAATACCAGTGCTTTTTAAAAAAAGATTTTGACATAGCATAGAAGATATTTTAAAAGTGGTTCGGTTGCGTGAATTTGAGATTTTGAAAAAAAAAAATATTTGCATTCATATAAAAATTGCACCAAAATATAATATATCTTTTACTTAATTGAAATATGATATACAAGGATATATTTTGATAATAGATTTTTGAATAGCCGCCTGTTTATGAAGTCTTTTGCTAGTATAAAACACCAAT